TCGGTTTGGCCAACCGGGAACACACCATCACTGCTGCAATTTCTTCTCTAATGCTCAATTTTGGACTGAGATTCGTGTGCCCACACGAGAATGTGATGTCATTGCTCCCTTCTTGTGCTTCCTAGTCAAAATGCTCCAAAAATGCGTGTTTATGTAACATTTTGTTCCATCTCATCTCCAAACACTCCTAAGAACCAAAAACATCAAAATACATAACATAAGTGCATAATTTAATCCAAAATGATATACAAATACCCATAAATAACATGAAACTTCTAGACCTATCAAACTCCCCCCACACTTAGAATTGCTTGTCCTCAAGCAAACGCAACTCAAAGTAAACATGATAATACCCTTTCTTACAGACTCTAACACACAAAAGGATCAAAGAGAATTGCCAAAACTTGTCTCAGGTTCTAGTCTCGCCAGAGACAAATAATATACATCAAATTTCAGTACCACTTGATCAAGTCAGAAACTCACTTCCGTGAGTGTGTGAAACAGACCAACAATAAAGTGTTGTCTAACCTATTGTCCAATCTAAGATTAGATTCAATTAATTTCAAATGGACATTCTTGTGATTAGTACTTATTTCCTTCTTACCTTCAACTAGGGTATTTTTACTGAGGTTCAGATCTAAGGGTTTTTTTCTCATTTTCTGCAAGCATCATTGGCTACATCTTTCACCCTCGTACCCTTTTCCACCATTTGTCCAAATTGACTTTTCTTTTGGGTTTTTCCCACTCAGGCCTTTACCAAGCACATTTTTTAGCAACTATGGTAATCTACGCATTTAATTTCATTTTAAGCTCACCAGGCTTGAGGACACTCCTCTCTTTGGTGTCATACCTCACCTCTCAAGGGATTAAATGCCACATTAGATACTCTGTCTATACTCCCTCATTAGATAAAGCACTTAACATCAGATTCAACTGCCAACTTTTCCCTTTTTCACAAGATATTTAGGCTAATCCAAACCACTATGGGCTCGATTCGAGACTGCTATAATGCGTTGTGTTGCCTTAGTGTAACTCTCATATTCACAGTCCCCCCAAGTTTCAGACAAGTGGACTCCAGTATAAGATCACAACAATGTATTAAGCATTCAAGATTTTAAAAGTTTAAGCCCAAAGCAAACACATTGTCAAGTAGAATGTTGTGCATAAAGATGTGGTCGTGAGTTTCTAACATTGCTTAAAAGTGATACTGAACATGTATTTTTATAATCACATGTAACCCTCAAAATTGAATTCATCATAGACTATTGACAATTCTCAAAGAAACACAAATTCCTCCCTCACACCTAAAGTATACATTGTTCTCAATGTATAAAACATACAAAGACAAACAATAAAAGTACATACAAACTCCCACATAATGTAAAAGAAAAAGAAACAATACTTCCTTGGAATTTTGTAGTGGCAAAGTCGATTTTTGGTGTGAGATGAGTATCAACAGCCTTGTTGCATTCCCGAAGAAGAAGGAACACACAACACAATTCACCTTCAATGCTAATGCTAGCTGCCATACTTAAACAAACATTAAAACAACCTGACACTACATTGATTAAATGATTAAGAAAAACCACAAAAATCAAAAAATCATGGAATTCAAGATAATTAAGAACAAAAAACTTAATCACCCAACTGATATATTAAAGAGAAAAAATAAAATAAAATAAACATCATTGGGTTGCCTCCCAACAAGCGCCATTCTTTAATGTCTTGGGCTAGACACAGTTTTGGAACATCACGGTGGAAACTTGCAAGCTCTACACATAACTGGAACTTATGAAAATCCTACAAAAATCTCAACAAAACCAGAGTAGGAAGTTCCAAATTTATATACACACTTTAAATCAACATAAGATGGTGGAAAGTGAACTCCTCTAAATGTTTCTTTAAAAGCACCACACTTTCTCCACACACATACCATGACATCATGCATTAAATTCATTCCACAATCGTCTAGAAATTTTAGAATTACATTCATCTGTATCCCTAATTCAGGAGGTCTAGATAAATGTCCATATGGAAACTCTATATGCATATGCACATGTTAACTCAAAATTTTTAGATTGCCACATTTCTCATAAATTTCAGGCCCAAATTTAAAAACACAACTACTAGAAAAATTAACTTCTAGAGCACTTTTAACATTTAAAAATTCACATATTCCTTTGCTAATGATGTGACTCTATTTATCATTTTTATTCTTGCAGTTTTTCAGAATGATCTACCTAAGAAACATGGGGTTGAGTTTAAGACTGGATTTTCTTTCACATTAATCACATCAAAATTACAAGGAAAAATAGTTCCAACATTGGACAGGTAAGCCATCTTCAGCACAGACAAGACTAGCACAAGACTAATCAACAAGTTTTATAACTTCATCAGTTTCATTCGATAACACAAGTTTCAAGAACTTAAACACAGACTGAGGCATGATATTAACACCAACTCCAAAATCTATGATAAATTTATCACTTTTAACATGTCTAAAAGTACCTGAAGGAGTAGGTATATCTGCATCATGGGATTTGAAAAGTAATTTCGATTGGACTATATCAGCGAGATGTTCTGCCACTGAAATTACCTCATTACCTTGGAGTGTAGATTCATTAATTCTGTTGCACAACTCATCTTCAAATTCATCATCACAAGGGAACTCGTCAAATTCCTCCGAAAAGGAACATGAACCTCTCCATTGGAAGATGCATCGATAAATCTTGTTCAGACTCTTCTTCATCATGTTCTTCTAGCTTGCTAGGAAAAGGTGTAACAAAATCATTAGTGAAACTAGATAAAAGATAATTATCAATTGTCTCAACTACAACTTCTGTAGAGTCTTCGTCATTTTCCATTTCTCTTTCATCCTCTGAATCCCATAGCCCAACTTCTTCACTTAGTTTTTAATTCACTATTTTGGATAGTCTCTTCATTCATTCTTGTAACTGTCTTAGATATTTGCCTATCCAAATTCTCCCTGCTGGCACGTCTTTCCTGACAAAAGTTTTCTCTGTCAATGGACAATCTCATAACAGTATTCTTCTAGAGGCATACCTAAGTTTGGTGACACTTCTGGAGGTTGACATGCTTGTGGTGGTGGTGGTGAGTAATATCCTTGCCAACTTGGATCATATGTATATGAATTGGACTCATAACTTGATTGTGGCGATCTCCAAGATTCTCTTATGGCATTTGCTCATTTCCTCTGGTAGTATGGTAACCTTGGACAAAAATCTCTAGCATGGCCAGTCACTAAACAAATACAACACTTTTCCAACTGTTGTGATGGACCTGCAGCCATTTTTCTCACGAGAGAGGTTAGTTCATCTAATTTTTGTTTAATGGATGAAGCATGTACCTCTTTTGCACTCTAATTGAATCCGCTATGTTAGTCCCAAAACTGTTGTCTATATGCATCCATGGTAGATATAGAAAATAAACAAAACAAAACAAACAAAAAAAAAAATTGAAAGAAACAAATCAATCAACACCGTTTCCCAAAAACGGCGCCATTTTGGATGGGGTGTCAAGCCAACAAACAAATTAACCTGCTTTCAAACTAGTAGCATAGGAAAGCAAGGTCGTCTCCTCTAGGAATGGTGCATTCGTTTCTTTCAAATAAGTAACCAAAAGGGGGGTTTTGAGCTTTTAAAACTAAAACGTAATTAAAATAAAATTCAAATGATAGTTAAAAAAACGGTGAAAGCAAATTATGAGAAAAGTTCTAGTCGAAAGATTTTATATCTACCTTGGTCTGGACAATTGATCACAGGTGCAATGATTTGCTCAATCACTTATAGGCAAATTAGTTTCCGTGGTTGAAACCTCCTAACAACTCAATCCTGAATTAAATTTAGTGATTAAGAAAACCTTCATTAAACACACTAGTCGAAATTAAATCTTGGAACCTCCTAAGATTTAGAAAACGACTGCATTAAGTAGAAAGACTCAATTCTGATTCCCATGAAACAAACCTTGTAATATAAAAAAACAGATTACTTGTTCTTATAACATAACAAAATCACTTACCAAGTAATTTAATTATATTTGTCCCTTTTAAAACAACAGACCTTGATTCCTTATTGGTTGTTAATTATCATGAAATAATAAATGCTACCAACTATTTATGAATCCAAAATAACAATAGCAATCATTCAAAAGAACACGCAGATACTTACAAGGAATTGAGAAATTAAGAACATTTAGATCTCACAACTATGAAGAACCAAGATTTCAATACCTTTCAACTAGAAAGGTAATTTAGTTACACATAATAAAGTCTTATTGAAACAAAACTATGGAGAATGGGGAAGAATAACGCCAAAAAGGCTAGATTGGTGGTTTAGGACCCCTCTGGTCTCCTCCCTTCCTTCTCACGTTTAGCCCCCCTCAAAAAAAAAAAAAAAAAACTAAACTATTTACATTGGGGAAATAGGTCAGCTGCAGAAGACAAGGAAAAGAATAACTAATTTTGCAGAATGGTCCCTTAAGTTTTGATTGTTTATAATTTGACCCCATAACGTCTTTAATTTTGTAATTTGATCCCTGCTGGGGTTTGGCCAAACGGGAACACACCATCACTGCTTGAGTTTCTTCTCTAATACTCAATTTTGGACTGAGATTCGTGTGTCCACACGAGAATGTGATGTCATTGCTCCCTTCTTGTGCTTGCTTGTCAAAATGCTCCAAAGATACGGGTTTATGTAACATTTTGTTCTATCTCATCTCTAAGTACTCCAAAGAACCAAAAAAATCAAAAAGCATAACATAAATCCACAATTTAATCCGAAATGATATACAAATACCCATAAATAACATGAAACTTCAAAGACCTATCATTAAGCATCATCTCAATATATCTATTAACCAAGCAGCTACCTTTTTCATTCTTTCAATCCCATAACAAGCTTTTTCAAATGTATGAAACTTGGGCTTGTACGCGCTAGACACGTGCACCCAAATTTTTCCCCAACTTCCAAATCTGCGAATTCTGCCTCTTCATCTCGACAATTTCTCCAGCAAAAAGTCCAATCGGACGCTGATCTTTATCAATTAAGCATACATAGTCCACATGCATGCTCTCCCTCCTTGTGTTTTCAGCTTTTCATTGGATCTCTTTTACAATCTGAGATGAATGGGAATTTGCGATCTTCAATGTCTCCGATCGGTGGCAGCCACAACTGCAGCTTTAAAAGTCAGCAGTGGCGACACAGATATCACAGCTCAAATCCGAGTTTGAAGAAACAGCAGCCGGCACTGAGTATTCCGTCGATTGCCCCGGAAAAATACAATGCGATATGGATTACTTCCAGAGGTAAGGTCAACGGTTATGTCAATTCTGGCCTTGGATTTCTCTGAAATCATCAACCCAAGGGAACAAATAAAAGCTATGGGGACTGCTATCCCAAAAGCGGTGGCAACGGGAGAGTTGATAAAGGCCCGACTCTGGCGGCAGGGGATGCGACAAACAATCACAACCTTGATGACAAATGGAGTCCCAACAATTGTAATAATTTGGAAATTCGACAGTCTTCCAACTCAGACAATCGGTCTAGCCGCCTTCCAAAAAGAGGTAAAGAGTCTGTCACTTTGGAAAGGACCTCAAGACAGCACATGGAATGGAGGAAAGTGTCCGTCTAGGCAAACAAGAGCCCTTGCTCTTTTCCATCAGAATTAGCCCAAGAGAATGGTCATGCAGTCAAGGAAACTTCTCTTGGTGGATCTGAAGCAGTAGGGAAGCCAAACAACTCACATTTGGGTCTTAAAAATCCTCCCATGATGGAAAGTGCACAAGAACATCATATTAGAACAGAATTGTCTAGCAAATTGTGGTTGAAACCTCAGGTGCTTCAAAGGAAGACAACATCTATATTCAAAAAAAACGGCTCTCCGAGGTATGAAGGCAAGCATAGGATTGGCTCCAAGGAAATTTTAGTATCAACTAGGAAGAACAAATCTGCTGAGGATAAAGAGATTGGTGGAAAGAAGAGGAAGCGACTCAGAGACTTTCAGGATGACCATTTGTTGAACGCTTGGCATAAAGCAAAGAAATTCTTAACCAACAACACTGGGATACATCGACAACTATGAAATGGGGAGAATTCCATCAGGTTGAGCTCACTTGGCATTAATACTCTTGTTTGCCATTTCAGGTTGAGCATGGAAGATCAATTATCGTCATTACATGGAAATGGTAATATTTCTGCTACTCTACAGACAGATAGGCAGGTAACACATCTGATCTCCAATTTGAATGTGCATGATTTTGGTTATGACATAGAAGCTATAAAAGGTTTTGCGGTGGTTGAACCAGATCAATCGCCTTTGTTGATATGAATATCCTATCTTGGAACTGTAAAAGTATGAATAAATCTAAGAATATAATAGGTAGGTTAGTTAAGCAGTATAAACCTAGTATTTTGTTTATCATGGAAACTAAGGCTAGTAGGGAACATGTTGAGGTTTGGCAACAAACATCAATATTTAAAAACTTAGTTATAATAGACCTGATAGGTCTTAGTGATGGTTTAGGTCTATTTTGGATAGAAGATGTCCATATTACTATACTTCTGCAAAACTCAAATGTAATAGTAGCCAAAGTATGTAAGGCTAATGGCCTAGAGTGGTTGGCTATTTTTCTATATGGTCCTCCTTCTCAGCAAGGAAGGACCGAATTTTGGAATCAGCTGAATGCCACCATCGAAGGCTTTTACTATCCTAGTGTTATTTTGGGAGACTTCAATCAAGTAATTAATCAGGAAGACAAATTTGGGGGCAGACAAGTCAGAGATCAAGATACAAGGAAAATTCAACAATTCCTATCACAGAATGACCTGGAAGAACTGAAGCATCTAGGATGTTGGTACACTTGGACCAACAAAAGACTCAACCAAGATGCGATTTTGAAAGACTTGATCGAGCCTTTGTCAACAGACAGTGGTTATCTCATTTTTCCAAAGCAATCATCAGAAATCTTCCCATTATGTCTTCAGATCATGGTCCCATTCTAATTCATCTGAAAGGCAACTGTCACAAGACAAGGAGAAAGAAGAAATTTGAACAATTCTGGACTAACTGTCCACAAACATCTCAATTGGTAGAAACTACATGGACTTAGGAAGGTTTGAATATTGATGATCACCAGGAAAGTCTTTCTCATAAACTATGCAGAAGCTTGACTTCACTTCATAGTTGGAGTAAGAACCGTTTTGGAAACATAGACAAGTTTGTCCTCAAGTTGACTGAGCAACTCACAGCCATGCAGCACGGGTGGGAATCAAACCAAGCTGATAAGGCTATTTTCATGCAACTGCAACAACAGAGAAGTGATCTAGAAGAAGCTTTACAACACCAACTGGACTACTGGCAACAAAGAGCAAAACTTATTTGGCCTTTGCAGGGGAGAGAAATTCTAAGTTTTTTCACAAGTGGGCAAATAGGAAAAAAGGGAATAAATGGATCACAGAATTAAAAATAGAGGAAGGGGAATGGCTGCAATGTCCAACAAAAATGGGAAGTTTTCTCTTACAACGTTTTTCTGAGCTTTACAGGCAAGCAGAAACAGCTACTCAGCACTCTCATCCCTCACCATTTTTCAGGAAACTTCTTGATAATGTTGAGGAATGTTTAACCCCTGATCAAGCCAGCCTCTTGGATCAACCTTTTTCTGCTACTGAAGTTTGGGATGCAGTTAAGCAAATGGCACCTTAGAAGTCACCAAGCCCTGACGGAATGCCAGCTGGTTTTTACCAAAAATACAAGCATATAGTTAGAGGTGATGTGGAATCACCCATTTTGGATGCCATCAATAGACAACAATTCCCCCACGAATGGAACTAGATGAATATTGTCCTCATTCCTAAGATCTCCAACCCGGTAATGCCAAGTGATTTTCGACCAATAAGTCTTTGTAATGTAGAGTACAAAATCATTACAAAAATGATCACAAATTGACTGAAGCATGTGATGAATGATCTTATTGATGAACATTAAAATGGCTTTGTGCCGGGCCGTAATATTAACGAGAATATACTGATTGCACATGAAATGATTTGAGTTCATAAGGAAAAAACATGGTGATCTTGGTTTGGCAGCAATCAAGCTGGATATGAGTAAAGCCTATGATAGAGTCTCCTGGCCATTCCTTCAAGCAGCTCTTACAAAAGGTGGACTTCCAACCCGACTCATCACATTGATAATGTTTTGTGTTACAACTGTATCCTCTCTATCCAGTTTAATGGGGAAGGACTATCATTCATTACCCCCACTAGAGGCCTTCAACAGGACTGCCCTTTATCTCCTTACCTTTTTATCTTGTGCCAACAGGTTTTATCATCTGCAATCAGGGCTGAAATCCAAGTGTTTCCAGGTTTGGGAGTAAAGATAAGTCGACATTCTCCATGTATTAGTCACTTGATGTATGCAGATAATAGTCTCTTTTTTGTTGAATGCAGAGAGAGCTCAGTCCTTGCCCTCACAGGCTTGATAGAACAATATGTGGCTTTTTCTGGCCAAAAGATCAACTTCCTCAAATCTTCCATTCTGCTGAGTCCGAATACACCTTCACAAATGAGGTCCTTTATACATACCACCTTGCAAATCCCTTAGGGGAAATTCCAAAACAAGTATTTAGGTGTGTCTCTGGATTTTAATGAGAAGAAGAAGCTGATATTCAAAACTTTTACCTCCAGATTGCGCAACAAATTTGCTGACTGGAAGACAAAACTCCGTTCTCTTGCTGGGAGAATAACTCTTGCAAAGTCAACTCTGTCAGCCATGTTGGTATACCCAATGGGTGTTTTTAAACTTCTTGCTTCCACGCTGCATGAAGTAGATCGCATCATTGCCTAATTTATTTGGAAAGGTGACAGTTTAAATAAAGGAATACATTGGAGGTCATGGAAGAAGATAAGCAAGTCCCAGTTTCATGGAGGATTAGGTTTAAAGTCCACCAAGAAATTTAATCAGGCATTACTGGCCAAGCATGCATGGAAAATTATGGCAGCCCCTAATTCCCTCATTTCCAGACTCTACAGAGCCAAGTATTGCGGGAATGGTGTATTCCCTTAGCCATAACCTCCAAACAATTCCCTGGGGTTATAAGAGTATCCTTTGGGGAGCACAGCTCTTGAATCAAAATGTAAAGTGGAAGGTGATTTCGGGGAGAGATATCAAAATAGCAGATGACCCTAACCATCCGAATCCGATTGCTAGGGATTCTTTTCTGGCAATGCATTCTAATATTTATGTCAAAGATCTCATCCGTCCCAATGGCCAATGAAAACTCCAGTTCCTTCGAACAATCTTCCCTGATCACATTGTTCCCTACATCATAGGTATTTACATTGATCCTGCGAGATCCCTGCAGAATGATAAGCTTCTATAACGGAGCATGGCAATTATACAGTCAAGACTGGTTATCTTACTGCGATCAATTTGCACAATCCCAAACAAACTCATAATCAACTTGATGCCGAAGTTGGAGCTTGGAAGCATTTGTGGAATTCCACAGTCCAACCGAAACTAAAACTGCTCTTTTGGAGGGCTGTTCTCAATGCTCTTCCAACTAAAATGGGATTGCAAAAAAGAGGAATTGATGTCGATACAGTGTTCCCCCATTGTGGTACTCAGGAGGAAGATAGTTTGCATCTCTTCTTTAATTGTCAGAATTCTCAGGCAATATGGATTTTTGTATATCCCTCATTTCAGACCATCGTCAACTGCTAGAATGTCTCCTTGCTTGAGTGGTACATCCAATGGATACAGTCTCGTCCCTCTTCAGCTGATTTGGACCTGTTTTTAATCATTCTTTGGAGAATATGCACTACAACAAAATGTAGTTGTTGGGACGCATTTATTGGGATGCTTTTATCAAAAGCATCCCAATATGTATCTATTAGGACCCTTTTATAAAAGCGTCCCAATATAATTTTTTAACAGGACGATTTTATGAGCCCTTAGAGAATGTGTCCCAATATAGGAGTACGACGTTTAAAAATGTCCCAATAGTAACTATATGAGACGTTTAAAAGTGTCCATACAAAAATATTTAATGGGACGCTTTTAAATGTCACATTAGACATAAGTGTCCTAATATCTATGTATAACTCGACACTTCGAAAGGTCCTATCAGAAAATAAGTTTTTTCAGCTCATTAACTTTTTATTAAAAGTAAATAATAATTGAGGTTTGATTGCAATACTTACATATATATTGAACTAAATACACTAATTGAGTCATTGTAATTAAATTTGTGCTAATAACTGGTTAGATACTTATAAAAATTAAAGTTAGATTGCAATGCTTGTAATTAATTACTTATGATTTGGATTGATATACATTTGTGGGGACTGAAATGGCAGTTTAATGTTAAGTGAAATTAGTTTCTACATACGTATTGTTGTTTCTATGTTTTAATAAATGTATTCTAACACCCTAAAATTTGTAGAATAGCCCCATAATTAAAATGATTTATGTACTAGTACTTTATAAACTTTAGGTTATTATAGTGTGGTACCCTAATGTGTACAGTTTACCCCCCTTATATTTTTTTTTTTGAGTAGTTAAATGTACTATTAATTGTTTAATAATATACAATTCTCAAACTACAGTCTATAATTTAAGTTAATGAAGGTAGTGACGCACCAATAATGCTCTGTAATTTACTTTTTCTTTAGAAAAATATATAGTCGTTACTTATGCAGTTATAGTTGTAAGTTCTAAATTAGTAGTTCACGCATATACCTTTATGTTCTTACCAACTAATAAACTACTAATATATATAGATATAACATATTATAACTGAATAATAGTAAACCATTTATAGCATACTAGTAATCATATCTACATAATTCGATTTGTTATAGTGGTAAATTGTTGGTATGATTTGCTTTGCGTTTAGTTTTCTAGTTTGCCTTGCAACAAGATATACATGAATCATATATGGATCGTATCTCACACATATTATTACAAACTGAAATGTTAACCAAAATGAATATAGTTATATGATATTAATGAATGAAATTGTATACTTACTCTTTATTATACTCACATTTCAAAGTTCATAAATGATGATTTTCTAATTTTGTATA